TGTACACAAGGGCAAGTGTGATCAGTCTAAGACATGTACACAAGGGCAAGTGTGATCAGCCTAAGACATGTACACAAAGGCAAGTGTGATCAGCGTAAGACATGTACACAAGGGCAAGTGATCAGTATCTACGGCTCTTCTTGCTGCACATCCTGCAGGACCTGAGGAGAACTGAGGTCAATTCCTCAGAGAGTGGTCAGGCCTCCAGGCCCCCTCCCCTGGGACTGCTCTTCCAAACGACAAGCTAGTCCATGTGTGACCACCTGCTACTTGTCTGCTGGACAAGGCTGAGTGCTGCTGGTAGTCAGGACTTTTTTTTTTTTTTTTTTTGAGACAGAGTCTCACTCTGTAGCTCTTGGTAGAGTTCTGTTGTGTCATAGCTCACAGCAACCGCACACTCCTGGGCTCAAGTGATCCTCCTGCCTCAGCCTCCTGAGTACATGAGACTACAGGCACCTGCTGCAACACCTGGCTAGTTTTTCTACTTTTAGCAGAGATGGAATCTTGCTCTTGCTCAGGCTGGTCTTGAACTCCTAAGTTCAAGGAATCCTCCAGCCTCGGTCTCCCAGAGTGCAGGGATTACAGGTGTGAGCCACTATGCCCGGCCAGGGACTTACTCTTTATTGTTAGCGGCTGAGTCCTCAGTTCTTCAGTGGGGACCCAGCTCACAGTAGGTGCTCAGTAAGTATTTATTGAATGAACAAAAATTTATTACTATCTAATGAGATGTGTGCAAAACTTATAGGAAAAAAACACCTAGAAAACAGTGAGGATAATGAAAGAAGATATGTATGTTGTTATATAAAGACATGTTCATAAATCAGAAAATTTAATATGATAAAGAGAAAATTTTACAAATCTAGATTAGAAACTTCAATATTCTTATTTTGGGGATGTAAAAGCATGATAAGATAAAATTATTCTGAAGTCTACCGGAAGGGTAAAATTACAGGAATAGGTGGGTTAATAAAAAGATTGTGGGCATGTCTATGAAACAGGCCAACAGAATCTGCAGAACAGAATTGAGAAACTCACCCACAATATACGAATCTGATATATAAAAAAAGTGGAAATTCAGGTATGTTGTCCAAAGATGACATTTTAAATTTGATTTTGTAATAAGGGGGGTGGTGAGACTGTTTTCTGATACTGAAATAATTTCTACATTATTCAAAGCAAGATTTATATTTAAAAACTACTAGAAAAATAACATATGTGAATATTTTTTTAAAACTTGGGGTTGGGTGGCACCTGTGGCTCAGTGGGTAGGGTGCCAGCCCCATATACTGAGGGTGGCGGGTTCAAACCTGGCCCTGGCCAAACTGCAACAAAATAATA